GCGTGCTGAAGCCCACGGCCAGCCGGTCTGCCCTCGTGCTCGGCCGGTCGTTCGGGGGCCACGTGTACGTGATGAGGGCCCCTCCGCGGCCGAAGATGTAGGTCGTCCCAGCTGAAACACAGACACAAACACACCATCAGAGAGAGCATCAGTCTAGCTGTAGTGTGAATGAGAGCCAGAGGTCACTGCGTCTGCTTCAGTCGTGTGCCGACGCTCATGACTGATTGTGTTCGAGAGACTTTCCAAATGCTTGGCTCCGTGGATCTGAGATCAAGAGCCAATTAGCACCTGTGAACAGAGCCCTAATGGAGCTTCATCGGAGCTGACGCATGACTTTATACAACACACGCTCTGCAGTGAGTCCCGCTGATCACACCACCAATGAAGCACATCACTGCATAAACATAAACATAAACACGCACACACAAATTAATAAAGAAATAAATAATAATAATAATAACAAAAAACATAAACAAACACACACACACACACACACACACACACACACACACACACACACACACACACACATATGCTGGACTGAGTGGAGGTTTTACTCGACAAAGATAAAACAAAAAAGATTGCCCATGATGATAATTAAATGAAACATGCTGTTGACAAAATACAGAACTACACTATCTAGAAGAAGAATGTAGGAAGAGTTCATGCAAATACTGCCACAAAATGAGCAGTTTGAGCTGAATTGTAATATGTTGGCAATACATTAATACTTTAATATTACTAATTAATACCAATAAAGGACACATGTAATTGATCAAAAGCGACAGAACTTTCTTATGAACTTTCTATTCATCTGTGAATCCTGAAAAATAAAATGCATCAATTTCCACAGAAATATTGGGCAGCACGACTGTTTTCAACATTGATAATAATCAGAAATGTTTCTTGAGCAGCAAATCAGCATATTACACTGAAGACTGGAGTAAAGCCGCGGTCACACTAGACTTTGAGCATGCAAAATTGTTTTGCATGCTGCAACGGTCGTGATATGACGTCACGCTGTGCAGCATCTTTTTAAAAACTATCCTCAAAAACCTCACCAAGGTATGTCACACCGTGTGATCAAACTGTTCTACTCATACATTAATTTCTTATTATGTTGTGTACTCGATAACTTAAAGGTTTGGTGTTAGATCTGTGTTGAACTGTAATGTTGGCGAACACTTAGGCCTGTGTTATCAGAGGACTTGCTAACATGAAGAAAACGGTCCAGAGGTCTGTAATTATACGTAATTTTAACTTAATTACTTAATTTAAACTTTAGTAATTTTAACTGCTTCTATTAATTTTAATTGTTTAAGATTGCTGCGTGATAATTAGTGTGATGAGCTAGCAATGTTAATGTTTAAGTGCTAACCCTTAAGGCTGCATGCATTTATTTGATCAAAAATAAATATATTTACAAATATTATTACAATGTGAAATAACTATTTTCTATTTGAATATATTTTAAAATGTAGTTTATTCCTGTGTATTTTCAGCATCATTTCTGCAGTCTTCAGTGCATGATCCTTCAGAAATCATACTAATATGCTGATTTAGTGCTGCATTTTTATTGGTACTCGGTTATCAATAATTTTCAGCATCATTACTGCAGTCTTCAGTGCATGATCCTTCAGAAATCATTCTAACATGCTGATTTAGTGCTGCATTTTTATTGGTACTCATTTATCAATAATGGTTCTTATTATTATCGTTAAAAAACAGTTTTTGCTGCTTAATATTTCCTGGAAACATTTTTATGATTCTTTGATTAACAGAAAGTTCAAAAGAACATAATTTATTTGAAATATATTTTTTTGAAACATTATAAATGTTTTTACTTTTATCAGTTGAATGCCTATATGCTGAATAAAAACAGTCATTTCTATTAAATAACACACACACACACACACACATCAAAGATTTGAATGGTTGTATATCATGGTTTCTGAATATATTAAAGAGCATAACTGTTTTTCAATGTTGATAATAATCAGAAATGTTTCTTGAGCAGCAAATCAATCAGCTTATTGGAATGATTTCTGAAGGATCATGTGACCTGAAGACTGGAGTAATGATGCTGAAAATACAGCTGCGCATCACAGAAATACATTACAGTTAAACAGAGATTCACATAGAAAATAAATATTTTAACTGATAATAACTTTTTAAATTGTAATTAAATTTATTTCTGTGATGGCAAACCTGAATAAATAACTTTTCATTCATCAATAAATCCTGAAAAAAGTATCACAGGTTCCCAAAAAAATTAAGCAGCACAACTGTTTCCAACACTGAGCTTTGATCAAAGCAATAAATAATACTTTGAAGTATATTCAAATAGAAAACCATTATTTTAATATATAAATCATATAAATGCTGGTTTGATAAGCAAGAGACTTATTTTAAAAACATTAAAAGTAGTAATGTGTCCAAACTTTTGAGCAGCCCAGTCCCGTATTAAGCAGGCAGAATGCTTTAAGGTGCATCCTGAATGATAGAAACAGAGCGGGGCACTGAAGAGACAGACATGTATTACATTATATTGTTTATGTTGAAATAATGAGTGATAATTCGGATAACTAGTGCCGATTGTGGCTTGCAGCTTTCTGGAGAAATGCTCCTTCAAATAACTTCACACTCAGCATCCTGAACAATATACCTGTTATGACAGTCATAATGCTATAGTCTGTGTGCCATTTGGGCAAAAACGATTTTTTCATCTCAAGTCGGTGATTAAAGTAAGTATGTAATGGAAAATTACAGGAAAATCAAAAATGCTTACCATGGATAACATTTATGATGTGGAAAAGCATATACAAGTGCATGCATAATTATTAGGTAAGTCAATATTCTGATCATATTTTTTACCAATTTCAAACCACATCAATCACTATTAATTTTGTTTACAATGTGGTCCAGATGCAGAAAGACGGATCTGTGCCAGTATTGGCCCATTGTGCCAAAAGACACCGGCCCGAGTCCATTGTGCGGATCTGGCCCAGATGATTTTTGCTATCTGGGTACGTCCCCACTGGATGTTACATTTTTACAATTTCTGCAGTTACATTTACATGAATGCATTTGGCCGACTCTTTTAATCAAAGTGCCTTGCATTGCATTTAAGGTGTACATTTATTTGATTAATTCATGCATTCTCTGGGAATCAAACCCATGGCTTCGCTGTCTCTATTCTGCAGGAAAGCAGTTAGTGCTTGTTGTGACCAGTAACCCATCTAACACTTCTGACCAACTCCTTCTGAAGATGAGAAGCGGTTGAGGATGTCAGCGGGTTTAAGCACTAATAATTCAACAGGAAGAAGAACAAATGAAAAGGCAGAAATAAAAGGAAGCGTCTCGTGACCAGGGGTGTGAAGTAACGAATTACAAATAGTTGGCAGTCAAAATTAAAACTGCTGGATAATATATATTCTTTATTCTTTATGACAAACAAGATAATGTGACTTACAGAATGTACAACGTTTTTAAACTGTATAAATTGCGGTGTACAGCGTTTATTATGAGGGGGTAGAATCCACAGCTCAGTACTCACTACTCAATACTCATGAGTACTTTTAAATAGGCTACTCTTTTACTCTTACTCAAGTAGTTTTTTGGACAAGTACTTTTACTCTACTCACACTACATTTTTTGGAAGGTAATGGTACTTTTACTTGAGTATATTTTTTCAGTACTCTTTCCACCACTGCTCGTGACTGGCGAGCAGCAGAACATCAGCCACACCTCCACAATTTCAGTCTGGTCGAGAAACGCCGTCACAGTCCAGCCGTTCACAAGCACACAGCCGTTTAGCATTGACTCAATCGCTGCTCTCCTTCCCTCGGGCTACAGCCGCTTCAGACGCGTGCTGCTGCTTGTAGTATCTGGCAACCGACTAATTATTAGAGGAAAAACACATCAGAGAAACACAAGAGCCTCATGGGAAACAGAGCGAGGAGGAGGAGGAGGAGGAGGAGGAGGAGGAAGGCAGGACTGAATTGTCTCAGAAGGAAAAACAGCAGCAGGACGAGTGCAAGATGCAGTTTCCTTTCATCATGTCTCTGTTCGTGAAGCGACGTCACACTAACCCATTCTCAAAACACAAAACAAAGAGAGAGTGTAAAATGGCTGCCGGGAACGGATGAGAGACATGTTGAGTCTCTCTCTCTCTCTCCCTCCAATCTCATTCCTTCTCCTCATGAATATGAAGTGTGACTGGAATGAGAGCGTGTCGCAGGAACACACATCAACTGCAGCTTCATTCTGCTCAACTCATTCTCACTCTCAGTCCATCTCACACACACACACACACACACACACACACAC